GTTTTTCACCTGGCAAAGGTCAGGAAGGAAATTGGACACGTTTCATGAGTGTTAAAATAAACCCAGGGCAGCCCCGTGCTGGAGTYTCTCCAGTGCTGACAATGGCTTTAGTTTGTTTTGCTGGTAACAGAATGATCCACATCCTCTTCCTCCTGTGTCCCAGGCCCTTCCCTCACACTCTTGTTGTCTCTTTTTCTCCATTTCACTCTGGTCATTCTTGTGCTGTGACATTCCTGCCTTGACATTTCGGTTTGGTTTACGGAAGGAGCGGGCAGGTCTTAAACACTTCTTTTTTTTTTTTAAGTCTCTTTTCATCTATTGTTTTTTCTTCCTTTAAGTTTCCTGCTTTGAGCTTTCTGGATGATTTCCTGCCCTTGGCTAATGTGTCTGATAACTGTAAAATTACACTTTTCACCCTCAGGGCACAGTGTGTGTCAGTATTAAGGGTACAAATGAGTGTAAGAGGCAAGAATTCTCCAGSTGAGCACTTCTCTCCTCTTTATTAAAATGCTGTGGGATCTGGAATTGGGCTCATTGACACATTTATACTCTGAGGGAGCTACATGGGCAAAAGTTGAAAGAGGAGAGGTTCAGACTGGACAAAGGAGGAGTTATCAGAATCACAGAAGGGTTTGGGTTGGAAGGGGTTTTAAAGATCACCTCGTTCCACCCCATGCCACAGGCAGGGACACCTTCCACTACACCAGGCTGCTCCTGATCTCCTTGGTGAAATACTTTGAGATCTCTTGATGGGCACTTGCTTCCTTCTCTTTCCTCCTCTGTTGTGCCAACGGGGAGGTTTTGGTGCCAGCTCCTCTGAGGTGTGAAAAGCAGAGTCAACAAAGCAGAGTTATTTCAAACGAGCCAAGTTCCTGAAGGACACCCCGACAGGCAGGGCTGGCTCCGGGGTGTCGGAGCTGAGAACAGCCCTCTGAACCTCTGCCCTCACCTTTCAGAGGCTGTGAAAGGGCTCTGGATCTGCAATCCCAGCACAGTTTGA